AGTAGATTATTTTCTGATAGTTGTAGTCGTCGTTGTTATGGATGTCGTATTTCTAATAGTCGTCGTAGTTTTAGTTGTCTTAGTAAACTATCTCCATTAGTAGACTATCTGTGTTAACGTCAGACTATTCTATTCAGCTAAGAAGTTACGCCGTACACAAGGGATTAAAGTAGTTGTCCTTCTCGTTTGAATTATCCTTTAATAGTCGTCATAATTACTTTGATCATTATGTTCTTCATAGTCATCACTCTCGTGGTTATCCTCGTCTGAACTAACCTTAAAACTGTCATCATCCTGGTTAAAAATATCCGAAAAAATAACCAATCACATCTTCTCTTAGTGGATATCAAATAAGATTGGAATGAATACCCTATAACAGCTATCATTCTCATACAAGATATAAAAAAAAAATAACCAATTACACCTTACCATCCCCCCCCCCTTCTCTAGTGGATATCGTACAAGAGGAGTGCCAGCCAGGACTCGCCTCGCTTCGCCTCGTAACTCACACCCTCCACCCCCTGTAGAGACCCACCGCATCAGGTCCTGGAGGGAGATGAGCCGTGCCTGATGTGACTCTCCTGCTTTGGTGGTGGAGCAATGTCGGTGATGAGTGGTAATTGTGACTATTTTTATCCTTATTGTTGCTAGCTGATGCGCGCGTCTTATCTCCGTACTGATCATTTATTGGAGACTCGATAAGATTTGCTGTTGTTGTTGTTAAGATGAATTGTATAACCGTATTGGGTTATTAAGGAGTGAGTGTGGTTGTTAGTTAATTAAGGGTGATTGTTAGGTTGTCAGAGATAGTTTTATTATCAGACTGTCAAGGGGTGTGATGGTTAGGGTGTTAGGGGTTTCTTATTGTGAAGTGTAGGGGTGTCAGGCATGGCTATGGGAATATATTATGCTGTTAGGGCGGAGTTTGTTATTGTAAGTGGTAATTGAGTGAGTCCCACCAAGCTTGAGACACTAGAGGAAGGCTGAAGTCGCCGGTAGGAAAATAGTAAAATTTTAAAGTCGAGATGAGAGGAACTAAAAGCGAACAGACGACACGTGAAGTCATTATTTTAGACGACGTAAGGCATGTCTGAAGGTGTACGACAGAGTTTAAAGGCGGGTTATGGTACACAGGTATACAGGGAGGATGACTGGTGGGAGAGAGGGTGGGCAGGTGAGAGTGAAGGTAGCTAGGTAGAGGGAGGGTAGCCAAATGGAAGGGAGGATAGCCAGGTGGGTTGGAAAGTGGCCAAGTGGAAGGGAGGGTATCCAGGTGGAAGAGAAGGTGGCCAGGTGGGAGGGAAGGGTGGCCAAGTGGAAGGGAGGGTGGCCAGGTGGTGGAAGGGCCAGGAAGGTGCCAGATTAGGAAGACAAAGATGAAAACGTGAGGGAGTAAAAGCGAAAACAATATCGAGGCACTGATTGACGCCGCCATTTAGTCATATTGACCTAAGTTATGATGAACTAAGCGAGGAAGGTCATCAGTAATTTACTAACACTGACAGCTAGAAGGAGTTGTTGCTTTATTCTCTGCCATGTTGGTGTTTGGTCATCCTTACTCCTTGAGCGTGTTCCTTGATCCCTCTCAGGTGGGTAACATCAAGCTCCGCTGTCCGTATAATTTATGGTTACAGATTCATGCCAGAAACTGTTACTGAGTACTATCTAGAGGTAAAGGCGACGTAAAAGGATTGGTTAAAGCTCTCCCAGTCGCCGTGCAAGTAGACGTTTACAGTCTTGATTGACCATGAACATGATAGATGGCACCATTTTATTATGTAGAGGCCATCAGGGGAAAAAGTGGACTCACATCTCGATCCTGCTTGGCAATCACCTCCACAGGCAGAGGAAACAAGTTAGAAGGGGGAGGAGCAGGAGGTGGGATCAAGGCTTTCCCGTGCCACCGTACCACCTGTTACTCTAACAGTGGCCTGGTAACAGCTACCACCCCCGACACACCTGTCGGGAATTCAGAAGAAACATTTAGATACTAAGAATTCATCACAAAAAGTTATCATATCCACGCAAAAGTTAGATTACTTGTACAGTAAATATCGCGATATACGTCCTGCAATAACAGTGGCAGGTAGATCAAGTATTAATTACAGCTGACAGAGAAGAAAAATATAGCCTGTGAGGTGGAAGCCACTGCACCTGCTAGTGCTAGGTACGTCCCAAGATCCGGTACACGACTAGGGACACCAGGGAGGAGGATGTGAGTAGTGGTTGTGGCAGAGAAAAAAAAGTTTATGAGGAACCAGCAGCCACACCAGCGGCACTCCTCCACACCACGGCGGGGACCCTGGTCAGTGGTTACACGGGCTACAGTTTACTCCAGGGATCGACAGTTTATTTCAAGTGTATTCCACTAAAGATAAACGAGCAGACAAAGAAAACAAATAACATAACTAGATAAGAATAAACACGAATAACCATTAATAAATAAAAAAAACATGTTAATAAATAAATGCTAAAATACAGCAGCATATAAATAATTATAGAAATATGAGTCGATAATAAAGTTTCTCAAGACAATCGTACCAAACTGTCATGTCATATATTACTGTTGGGTGTCATGAACCCATAGAGTAAGGGGAGTAGGCAGGGGTTTTGATAAAAGCTTTAGAAGAAATAGGGTTTGCACGAGTCTCTCTCTCTCTCTCTCACGCACCGAAGCGATAATGAAGTTGAAGAGTGGAGGGAATTAGTACTGGTCAGAGGGAACTTATAATCACGGCGATAAAGCGAGACAAGTATTTAAGTATTCTTTTTTATATATAAGTCTGCAAACTTTACTCGTGCTGACCCCATGTTAAAACTAAGGACCTCATGCTTTACAAACTACACCTACTGTGTATATATATATATATATATATATATATATATATATATATATATATATATATATATATATATATATATATATATATACACAGAGAGAGAGTTTTTCGTAATATACAACGTAGAAATATAATGACATCTCAGAAATTGATTATTCTTACTATTAAATCAGGTTCTTTAACATATATAGATAAATTATTTCTCATGGCAAAATTTGGTTACAAATATATAATAACCACAGAAATTCGTTATACGTCTCATAAAATAAGGACATGTAATATAAATAATTGTATATAAATTAATCTAATGTATATATCAAATACACAAAAACTTGATTAAAAATGTCTATACTGAACAAAGTCGTTAAGTTGTTATACTGTGTTAAATCCGACAAGACATGCAGGAATATAAGCAAATCTTCTTTATCGTGTGAGCATCTCTCTTTAACAATGCTTCACTCATCAGCCTCACCATGAACCTCTCTGCCTTCTTAACTATAAGTATCCATATGAATAAATCCACTTTCTTCATAAGATTAACTACAATATGTGATTGGTAATGGTTGACGCGATGGTGGTTGAAGTGATGGTGGTTGAGATGATGGTGGTTGAGAAGATGTTGTTTGAAGTGATGGTAGTTGAGGTGATGGTAGTTGAGGTGATGGTTGTTGAGGTGATGGTTGAGGAGATAGTGGTTGAGAAGATGCTGGAGCTGTTATCTACACATGTTGGATGAGATGTACCCTGGAGGGCTTGATGATGATCTCTCTCACACACACACACACACACACACACACACACACCTTTCATGAACAGGTGAATTTTCTCTCATCCGACCTCAGTGATGTGTTGGTCATGGATGGACCTCAGTACCGCTCTTGATGACTGCGTAATGTCCATCTTTGCTGGATTAATGTCGATATACTTACAACTATCACAAGGCCTTAGTTAGCGAGGGTGTAAGGCAGGTAAAATTATCGCCACTGGTAGCATTAGGACAGGTAACCTCATCGTCACTACCATGATCAGTACAGGTAACCTTATCGTCACTACCATGATCAGTACAGGTAACCTTATCGTCACTACCATGATCAGTACAGGTAACCTTATCGTCACTACCATGATCAGTACAGGTAACCTTATCGTCACTACCATGATCAGTACAGGTAACCTCATCGTCACTACAATGATCAGTACAGATAACCTCATCGTCACTACAATGATCAGTACAGATAACCTCATCGTCACTACCATGATCAGTACAGGTAACCTCATCGTCACTCCAAGCAAAAGACGGTCAGGTTCGTCGTCACTGCCAGGAAGAAGAGGCAACTTTCCAGTCACTGTCAACCTAGATAGAATCACTAGAAACTCGTAAGAAGTAAAGACATGGACGACCATAAAACAGATATAATACATGCTACTCCTCCCTCACCCTGAAAGACATAACTTAATCCCAGACAGGTATTATAGGTTTACCGCTGGCCTTTCTACACTCTCGCTCCTCCTTTCTCTCCTCAACTGGAACTTTCTCTCTTCGGTTTTCTCAGTAACTCGTGGGTGTTTGCTTTTTATGTTTGCTTCAGTCGCCATTTAGGTAATGTTTGGTATCGGGTCTTCCTCAGTCACTTCTTCATTGTGTCCTCAGCCAGCTACTCACTGTATCCTCAGCCAACTCCTCACTGTGTCCTCAGCCAACTCCTCACTGTATCCTCAGCCAACTCCTCACTGTGTCCTCAGCCAACTCCTCACTGTGTCCTCAGCCAGCTCCTCACTGTGTCTTAAACCAGCTCCTTACTGTGTCCTCCTTAGTCAGCTCCTCACTGTGTCCTCAGCCAGCTCCTCACTGTGTCCTCCTCAGTCAGCTCCTCACTGTGTCATCCTCAGTCAGCTCATCACTGTGTCCTCAGTCAGCTCATCACTGTGTCCTCCTCAGTCAGCTCCTCACTGTGTCATCCTCAGTCAGCTCATCACTGTGTCCTCAGCCAGCTCCTCACTGTGTCCTCCTCAGTCAGCTCCTCACTGTGTCATCCTCAGTCAGCTCATCACTGTGTGTCCTCAGCCAGCTCCTCACTGTATCCTCCTCAGTCAGCTCCTCACTGTCATCCTCAGTTAGCTCATCACTGTGTCCTCAGCCAGCTCCTCACTGTGTCCTCCTCGATGCAGCTCTTCCTTAGTGTCATCCTCAGTCAGCTCATCACTGTGTCCTCCTCAGTCAACTCCTCACTGTGTCCTCTCAGTCAGCTCTCACTGTGTCCTCCTCAGTCAGCTCCTCCCCACTGTGTCCTCCTCAGTCAGCTCTCACTCACTGTGTCCTCTGTCAGCTCCTCACTGTGTCCTCCTCAGTCAGCTCCTCACTGTGTCATCCTCAGTCAACTCATCACTTTCCAGCCTCAGCCAGCTCCTCACTGTGTCCTCATAGTCAGCTCCTCACTGTGTCCTCCTCAGTCCAGCTCATCACTGTGTCTCCTCCAGCCAACTCCTCTGTGTGTCCTCCTCAGTCCCAGCTCCTCACTGTATGTCATCCTCAGTCAGCTCATCACTGTGTCTCAGCCAGCTCCTCCTGTGTCCTCCTCAGTCAGCTCCTCACTGTGTCATCCTCAGTCCAGCTCATCACTGTGTCCTCAGCCAGCTCCTCACTGTGTCCTCCTCAGTCCAGCTCCTCACTGTGTCTCATCCTCAGTCCAGCTCATCACTGTAATGTCCTCCTCAGTCAGCTCCTCACTGTATGTGTCCTCCTCAGTCAGCTCCTCACTGTGTCCTCAGTCCAGCTCCTCACTGTGTCCTCCTCAGTCAGCTCCTCACTGTGTCCTCCTCCAGTCAGCTCCTCACTGTGTCCTCCTCAGTCAGCTCCTCACTGTGTCCTCCTCAGTCAGCTCCCTCACTGTGTCCTCCTCAGTCCCAGCTCCCTCACTGTGTCCTCCTGTCAGCTCTCCTCACTGTGTCCTCAATAGCTCTCACTGTGTCCTCTGTCAGCTCCTCACTGTGTCCTCAGCCAGCTCCTCACTGTGTCCTCCTCAGTCAGCTCCTCACTGTGTCATCCTCAGTCAGCTCATCACTGTGTCCTCAGCCAGCTCCTCACTGTGTCCTCCTCAGTCAGCTCCTCACTGTGTCATCCTCAGTCAGCTCATCACTGTGTCCTCAGCCAGCTCCTCACTGTGTCCTCCTCAGTCAGCTCCTCACTGTGTCCTTCTCAGTCAGCTCCTCACTGTGTCCTCTGTCAGCTCCTCACTGTGTCCTCAGCCAGCTCCTCATTGTGTCCTCAGTCAGCTCCTCACTGTGTCCTCAGCCAGCTCCTCATTGTGTCCTCAGTCAGCTCCTCACTGTGTCCTCTGTCAGCTCCTCACTGTGTCCTCAGCCATTTCCTCACTATGTTGTCACCCTCTGGTTCTCATCTCCTGCATCACCTGTCCCTTTAACTAATTGCAGAGTTCGTGTGCAGGTGTACGAATTAGTGTGTTACCTGGCTCTATGGTATACCCTTGCATGATAATGGTATTCAGTTAACAGAATGCGTCATGTAAACTCATTTAAGGATGGTATTCATCTTCCCTACAGATTCTTTAATCTTCGAAATGTTCTCTTTCTTTCGCTATATTCATCAGACCGTTATTATAGTTCCGTATAAGTTACTTCGTATACCATCACTCTATATTCTGAATCTTTCACTCGTTGCACTATATGTAAACAGCTATTTTTCATCTCTGAATGTTTCATCAACTCTGTACCAAACACACCTGGGGGAAAACAGGTGTATTCTTCATCTAGCTCTCTCCCTCATCATCCCTCTCCACTGTCCTATAAATGACGTCTTTCTTGAAATCTATTTACCTTTTAATATAGTGGAAATACTCTGAGATATTTTCCGTGGCGCTTAGTTGTGTCATTTCGATTGATTATTTACGTTTTAGAAGAGTCATGCTTGTGTGTACAGTATATGCCGCGCCCACATTTAGTGACTTTAAGTTTCTGTCGTCTTTGGTCCTTGATGAACACTAACCTAATGCTATACACCTTCTCTGCTATCATACCTCTCCTTCCTCATTGACATGGCCGTTATTGTCCTCCATGTCCTTATTCTATCGTTACATTTACCACCATTGTTCCTATGAAATTCGTTCTGTTATCCCGCACTACCGGATGAAACCCAGACACACACCTCACCATTCACTGGCCTTCGTCATTCCACTTTTCAGACTTTCCTTATATGTCTCCGCATCCTCTTCACACTCATCTCATATTCCCTGCACCTTCCTCTCTCCAGCTCCCGACCTCAGCTTGATTTCCTTCCGCATAAAATGAAGCTTTTGGAAGGTAGAGCATACACAGATCCTGGTTGATTAGATCCTCCAATATGCGAGGCAGGTTCCGGGTCTTATACGGGACATCACTCGGTGTTGTTGTAAGTGTAACTCTGGAGGCGACTCAATAAAACAAAAAGATATAGGAGAGTTTTTTTATTATATAGAAGAAATATTTAGTTGTGTTCTGTATAACTACGTAAGGATGTTCTGTATATGGAGTGTATGGTTAAGTGTGGTCTCTGGGTCGTGTCCAAGGCTTGATAAAATAAAATAAAACTCTTGGTGGAGTAACAGTCAATAAATCTAGTCTTCGTCCTGCAGTTGAGAAGGAAATATAGTAAATTTTTTGTGACTTTTAACCTAACCTAACCTAACCTAACCTAACCTAACCTAACCTAACCTAACCTAACCTAACCTAACCTAACCTAACCCACTCAACACAAACTTAGGTCTCTAACAATAACACCAAAAGTGTCAGGGGGTAATAATGACGACCTTTAACTTAAATTTCTTGGAATCCTTTGTTGTTCATAGCTGCTTTAGTGAGGTGGGCGGTAATATCCCAGACCTGCATGTAATAACTAATACTTTTACCTTGGCTCTGTATCAACATCTTGGCCTTATACCCGTTAAAAGAGGTTCCTTAATAGCCTCGTTTAATGTTTGTTCAAAGAGGCTATTGATTAACCTTGCCTAGTTCGTCTGCTTTTACTGTACTTATCTTCTTCTATTTGTGTTTGTTATATTCCTCTCTATTTACCAATTATCTTTTGTGATTTTTTTTATTCTTACCTGAACTTACCATCATTATTGTTTTCTTAGGGATTTTTTTTAACTACGTTGAATCTTCAAATAATTTTATCTCCGGAAAATAAATAAATAATAATAATAATAATAATAATAATAATAATAATAATAATAATAAATAATAATAATAATAATAATAATAATAATAATAATAATAATAATAATAATAATAATAATTAATAATGGCGGTGATAAATATGGTAATATTGATCTAATGATAATACGAATGTTAATAATAATTGGCGATAGAAGAAAAAAGTCATGTTTGAATTCATTTGTTTATTTATTTTATTTATTTTTTATCCTGAATAGTAGGAAGCTCTTGTCATGCCATAGGTGTTACTGGGAGGGTTTTCCTATGGGGAGTGGGAGGGTCTGGCCACTGAGGCACGATTTAACGCTAGTTTATGGTCGTATTAATGTCAACTTTAGTATGTATACACGCTCTTTAAATATCCCTGACTATTGATGAGAGAGAGAGAGAGAGAGAGGGAGAGAGAGAGAGAGAGAGAGAGAGAGAGAGAGAGTACTCGGTAGCTCGTTGTGAGTTTTTTCTCCCCTGTGTGCCTTACCTGTACAAAGTTAGTAACCATGCAACACCACCAGTCAGCGACAGTGAGATAACATCACCATGACAATAAGCGCATATTTAACAGGCAGTGTTCTTGACTGGCTGGGAGGTGGATAGGGTCGAAACGTTACTGAACAAGAGGTAGAGACTTAATGCCTTGAGAAGCTGGTGCTGCCTAGTTAACAGTAGTCAAACTCTCCTTGATTATTATTCTAGTGGCTGTTTGACTGTACTGTAGGTCTTTATATATCCGGTTTTGCAGCATCGATCACTTTTTGTTCATAAATCCAGTTGATGTTGTTGTATCTAGTCTGTCTGTCTGTGTATTTGTATATCTGATTCATGCTTCAATACGGCTGTTTGTCTGTGCTGATGTTTGCATGCTAATCAAGGCTGTTACTTTAATATGCACCATCCAGTGTGATATTCTTTTTGGGGTATTTTATTTTATTCTTTATTTCCTTCCTTCTGAACACAGTCCCCTCCCACTTGTTGACACCTCTCTTCCTCCCGCCCCCCTCCTCCTAATCCTTCAACTGAACACATTCCCGCTTGACACTCATACATGTTGACACCTGCCTTTCTCAAGCTGTTCCTCCCACTGAACACACTTCGCCTCTCACATTCACACCTGTTGACACCTGCCTCCTTCTCCTTCCCCTCCCACTGAACACACTTTCCCCTCACACTCTCATCTGTTGATACCCGCCATCTCCTCCCCTCTCACCTTACCCACACTCTCCACTCTGTTATTATACAAAGTTAAACACATCGTCAAACTGGGCAGGACAAACCCATGGATTGCAGTTTCGACTTTTGCACAGTTGTATTACTGTTTTAGACCTAATGTATACACCCTTATGTGACAATTACGTATCCAAGGAGTGTATTATATTCGTATACATATATACACACTTTGTCAACTTTAGCATGTATACACGCTCCTAAAGTTCATTATGATAAAACAATATTCCAGGTGCAGTCGTGTCATCAGGTACGCTACACTCACCTACATTATGCTGGGTATACCTGTAACATTGCTGAGCATTATGCTGGGTATACCTGTAACATCTGCTGATCATTATGCTGGGTATACCTGTAACATCTGCTGATCATTATGCTGGATATACCTGTAACATCTGCTGATCATTATGCTGGGTATACCTGTAACATCTGCTGATCATTATGCTGGGTATACCTGTAACATCTGCTGATCATTATGCTGGGTATACCTGTAACATCTGCTGATCATTATGCTGGATATACCTGTAACATCTGCTGATCATTATGCTGGGTATACCTGTAACATCTGCTGATCATTATGCTGGGTATACCTGTAACATCTGCTGATCATTATGCTGGGTATACCTGTAACATCTGCTGATCATTATGCTGGGTATACCTGTAACATCTGCTGATCATTATGCTGGGTATACCTGTAACATCTGCTGATCATTATGCTGGATATACCTGTAACATCTGCTGATCATTATGCTGGATATACCTGTAACATCTGCTAATCATTATGCTGGGTATACCTGTAACATCTGCTGATCATTATGCTGGATATACCTGTAATATACCTCTTGATACATTGTTCTTTAACCATTTGTAACCTCGAATAAATATTGCTATATTCAATAACTTTTCCAATTATGTATTTTAACCAATCACATCTTAGAATTGATTATACAGTAACCAATCACTTAATTCATCCATTCCAATAGATCAGTACTTCACCCAATCCCTTATTTCACCCATCCTCTCTTGGTAGGCATCTGTGTTATTGTGCCAGACAGTATCATTAATTCACAGTAACGTCGGCACACTGGTTGGTGGGCTGGAATACGCTATCTTGTTCTGCTTCATTTGGTTAAGTTATGCCCAGACAGGTTCAACCACCAAACACCATCTTCGCTTTATTTTTTTTATTTTTTTTATTTAATCTTCGTAAGAGAATAAAGTCTGGTGAGATAATATGTGGAGAGAGAGAGAGAGAGAGAGAGAGAGAGAGAGAGAGAGAGAGAGAGAGAGAGAGAGAGCACCAACCACCGTTATCCACCCGCCCACCACTCACAACCACTAACCCCCAACATTACCACCACCCTACTACCACTACCATCCACCACCCAACACTACCACCCCCTCATCACCAGCTGTGGGTGTTGGTGAAGGTTAGTCGCTACGAATCCTAATGACCATACCGAGGCCGTCACAAACTACAACGCTTCTCCCCTCGTTAACCAGGTCACCTAGAGCTCACCAGGTCACAGAAGGCTTAGATTCACCAGGTAACGTTAGACTCGTTAGGTCACCTCGGGCTCACCAGGTGACCTCGGGCTCACCAGGTCATCTCGGGTCATCAGGTCACCTCCGGTTCATCAGGTAACCCTACACTCACCGGATCACCCCAGGCTCACCAGGTCACCCAAGACTCATCAGGTCACCTCGGGCTCACCAGGTCATCCTAGGGTCACCAGAGACTTGCATCGAGAGCTTCACCCTATTCTGCCACCTTCAGTCCAACCTGATACTTACGAGAGAGAGAGAGAGAGAGAGAGAGAGAGAGAGAGAGAGAGAGAGAGAGAGAGAACAGCTTCACCCTCCTCTGCCACTCCCAGGCCGGGGCGGACATCCTCTCCACAGACGCACCAGAATGCTCATAATCCCTTACAAATCCAGCCCAAACTCCCCCGAACCCCCTTTAGGACCCTCCCACATTCTCAAAATCCTCCTCGATC